CGCGGTGGGGAGCGGAGGTGCGCGCGTGAGGGGCAGTGCAGGGTGCGGCGTGCGGCGGGCGTGCTGCTGTGGACCGCTCGGCTCGGCGCCGCACGCCCGCTGCTTCAGGTGTCGGCTGCGCGCCCCGGCTCCCCTCCCCGCCCCGGCTCCCCTCCCCACCTGTTGACGAGGCGCCCCTGCTCCGTCAGCGAGGTGGGCTGTGTGGGGCACAGCAGCCACTGGCCGTCCACAAAGTATTGGAACTGGTAGTGGCCCTGGGGCAGGCAGCAGCGCAGCGTGTGCGTGCCGGTGGCGGGGTTGGGCGCCAGCGGCAGCAGCTCCGCCCAGCTGTTGAAGCTGCCCGTCAGCAGCACGTCCTGCCCTCCCAGCTCAGCGCTGCGCCAGGTGAAGGTGGCGGTGGGCTGGATGAGCCTGCGCAGGCGGGGCAGGGGGGCGTGGGGTGAGTGGAGGGGCGGGCAGGGGGCGCCGCCTGTGCCGCCCCGCCAAGGCAGCCGCTGCTTGGCAGCCGCTGCCTCAGGCTGGCGGCCCCGCCGCGGCCCCGGCTGCCGCCGCGCCGCCCACCTGTGGTTGTTGTAGCCCTTGCCGTTGGCAACCACCTGCGAGGCGGGCGGAGGCGGCGGGGAGCGGTTGGCGCGGGCGTGGGCGCTTGCAGGCGGCAGCGGCGGGCGCAGCAGACGCAGCGTGCACGGCGTGCGCGACGTGCGCGCCCCCACCTGTTCGCATGGTGAGCAGATCCAGTCGCTGTCCACCAGGTACTTGAAGTACGCTGAGCCGGGGGGCAGCGCCACCGAGCGCACAAAGTCGCCGCCCGGGGTGGCCTGGTGCAGCTGCAGCGGCTCCCAGCCGCTGAAGGAGCCGCACACAGACACCTCGTGGCCGCCCAGCGCCGCGGGCCAGCGGAACGTGGTCACAATCAGCCCGCTGTCGGCAGGCTCGCCGCCGCCGGCGTCGCTGCCGCTGCCGCTGGTGCTGGTGGCGGGGCCGGCGTGCGGGTCGGCGCCCGCGCCGCCGCCGCCGCCCGCCGGCGGAGGCGGCACCGCGCCGATGCGCCGGCTGCTGGCCGCGGCGGGCGGCTCCTGCTGCAGCAGCTCCGCCTGTGGAGACAGGCTGGCAGCGCGACGCAGCCGGTGCGGCACCGGAGCCACGGGACGCCGTGCGCCGCGCGCCGCCGCCGCCGCCTGCTGCTGCACAGGGGCGGCGTGCCGCCCCGCTGACGTGCAGCCGGACATTTGAGGCTACCCCCAGGGAGCTGGCGCTGTGCTGCTGGCAAGAAGGCCGTGGGAGGGTTGCAGAACTGCTTTCACTTCAACGCCTTGATCGCGCACAGCGAGTGAGAGGTGGGCCTCGTTTGCCGCTTCCTTTGTCTGTAGCCCGTTCGCTGGGGAAACGCAGCCCATGCAGTCCATGCAGCCAGCCCATGCGGAGGTGGAAGGTGGGCCGCAGAAATGATCGAGGAGCGGAGTGAGTGTGCTTGTTTGGCCTCTCAGGAGAACTTGGATCGCATTTATAGCCTCGTCCCGACTCCCAGCAAACTGCCGCAGGTTCGGCGAGTTTATGCTGTTGCGACTGGGCTGCCTCCTGCGCCCTGCTGCACATCTCAACAAGGCGGCGCTCATTCCAGCCCTTTGGTCGCCGCGCCACAGCCCCTGCCGCAATTCTTCCAGTAGCGGCCTTGTAGGTAGCGGGCTCGTCGGTAGCGCAGTTCACCGCCCGTCCGGCGCCACTGGGCCATCAGCCGCCGCCATGGCCCAGCAGCTGGCACCTCGCGCCAGAGCAGTGCTGGACTTCTGGTAGGCAGCCGCCGGGCCGCCTGCATGCGCATCTGGGCACGGCGGGGCGGGGGATGCCGTCATCCCATGCCGGCATGACGCACAATCCCCCTGCTCCCGCAGGCTGGGCGAGGGCTGGGAGACCGCCCCGCCTGGTGACACGCGCCCGCAGTGCAGCAAGCTGTGGTTTGGGGGCGGGCCCGAGGTGGACGCCCAGATTGTGTCGCAGTTCCGAGGCGACTGCGAGGCGCTGATCGCTGGGCAGTACGACGCCTGGCAGCACGTACCGCTGGAGGCGCTGGCGGGCGTGATCCTGGGGGACCAGCTGATGCGCAACGCCTTCCGCGGCACCCCCAAGATGTATGCGGCAGACCCCAAGGTGCTGGCTTGGTCCAAGGCGCTGCTGGTGAGCCGGGGGCGAGGGCAGGTGTGGGCAGGCGGCGGGTGCGGAGCAGTGGAAGGGATGGCGCATGTGTGGATGGGGGGTGATGGGAGTGTGTACGGAGGAGGAGCAGCAGAGGGCAGGTCCAGCCAGGCCACAGGACACGGGCTGGAGCGCATTCTGCGTGCTGGCTTAGAGCGGCCGTGTGCCTGCTCCCGGGTGCAGGCGAGCGGCGCCGAGCAGCTGACGCCCATCCAGCAGGTGTGGCTGGCCATGACGCTGATGCACTCGGAGGAGCTGGCAGACCAGGAGGTGAGCGGGGTGGCGGGTGGAGGGCCCTGGTGTGGTGCTGGAGGTTCGGGGCAGAGGAGTGTGGACAGCCTGGTGCCACCCCCAGGCTGAGCCTCAGCGCTACTGCTAGTGCTGCTTCCTCGGCTGCAGGCGTGCGTGGCCCAGTTTGCCAAGATGGCGGCCAAGTGTGAGGCGGAGGGGCTGCAGGAGATGGCGAGCATGCTCAAGGTAGAGCCGCCGCGCCTGCCGCCCGCTGCAGCGCTCACAGCACCCACTGCTGTGGGCGTGCTTGCTGCTGGCCCTTTGCCCTCACCCCAGTGTGGCCTGCTGCGGTGCAGAACAACTGCAAGTATGCGGTGGCGCACCGCGACGTGGTCGAGCAGTGGGGGCGCTTCCCGCACCGCAACGCCCTGTTGGGCCGCGAGGACACCCCCGAGGAGGCGGCGGGGATTGCGGCTGGGACCATCCCCAAGTGGTGACCGCCTGCCAGACGAGGCAGAGTACAAACGTGTGTAGCAATGAGGCCAAAGATGGACAAAGGGCAATGCGCAGTTGTCCTCCTGCTGCGCCCGGCACGTGCGCTGCGCCCAGCCACAGCACGAGTTCATTCTGTCGCGCTTGAATTTCCTTGCCAAGCCTTCGCATTCCTGCCCTGCAACTCGGGCTGCCTTGGATCCCTGAATTGCTTGGCCACAGCGGGGGCGCTCAAATACCAGGACGTGGCCCTCCTGGCGAGTGGGCGGCATCGCATGGCGTTCTCGTAGGTGCTACCTGCTACTGGTAGCAGCAGCCAGGGTCCTCTGCGCCCACACGCCCTGCACATTGTGATCGACTATGGCTCTCTTGCAGCTGGCTGCGTCTCCTGGTTGCTGAACACGTCCAAGCAGCTCACAGAAGCAGGGCGGCACCGTCTCCACCTCGCAGGTTGCGCCTCGCACTGCCATGGCGGCGCCGCAGCAGGGGCAGGGGACGGGTGGCGCGCCCCCCGCCTATGAGACTGTCTTCACCAATGCCAAGGCGGGGATGGAGGGCGTGGATGTGGAGAAGGTCAAGCGGGTGGTGTATGAGACCAGCAAGGCAAGTCTTCCTTCTTGTTCGAGCGCCCCGAGGATGCTTGCACATGTGCTGCCGCCCGCCTGCAAGAAGCTGCCACTCCAGGCGGCAGCGCCCCCGGCTGGGAGACCCCGCACCTCCCCTCCCCACCACCCTGCAGGGCAGCGCGCACTACGAGAACGAGCAGCGCAAGGAGCGGGCGCACGAGGACCACATTGCGCGCATGCGGGCCGCGGCGGCCGCGCTGGGCCCCACCGACCTGGCGCGCTGCACGGCGGCCATGGACGCGCAGCTGGCGGCGCTGGAGGCGGGGCGCGACCTGTCCAGGTGGGGGCCAGGCAGGCAGCCGCCTGCCCGCCAGCAGCTGGTCGCACGCAACCGCTGGCCGCACCTCGCCGCGAGCTGCCGGGGAACAGGGGAACACGGCCCGCCGCCAGGCACCCCTCCCCGCGGCTGCCGACCCGTGCAGTGTGTTCCACGCGCCGCCTGCCCCCGCAGGACGTGGCTTCACGTCGACATGGACGCCTTCTTTGCGGCGGTGGAGGAGCTGGAGCGGCCGGAGCTGCGGGGCCGCGCCTTTGCGGTGGGCGGCATGGGCATGATCTCCACAGCCTCCTACGCGGCCCGCAGGTTTGGCGTGCGCAGCGCCATGCCCGGCTTCATCGCCCTCAAGCTCTGCCCAGACCTGGTCTTTGTGGCCCCAGACTTTGCCAAGTACACCGCAGCCAGCCAGCGCGTGCGGTGGGTGGGTGGGTGGGTGGGGCGCGGCGGGCCGGGTCGGTGGATGGGGTTGGGGGTGGTGCGTGAGGGCGCGCCTGGGGAGGCGGGCGGGCGCATCGCCACCCTGCCGCGGTGCCTGCTGCTGCCTTCCTCTCCTCCCACCCTTGCTTCCACCCTCCCTGCCTCCTCCCAACCTCCCCGCCTCCCCGCCTCCTCCTTCCCTTCCCCCCTGCCTCACCTGCAGCGCCATCCTGCGCGACTACGACCCCGGCCTGCAGCCCGGCTCACTGGACGAGGCAGCGCTGGATGCCACCGACTGCTGCGCCGCGCGCGGGCTGGGCGGCGGCCAGGTGGCGGCCGAGATCCGGCGCCGCGTGCAGCAAGACACGGGGCTGACCTGCTCCGGTGGGTGGCACGCGCGGGGCTGGGGGCGCTGCAGGCGTGCGCAGCCTGGTGGGGAGTGGCTTCCCCGCTGGGCAGCGGCTGGCCTGGGTGCCACCCACGGTGCGGTGCCCAGCCCCAGGCCGCCGCCCCAACCCCCTGCCCCCGCCTGCTTGCCGCTTGGCGGTCCCCTCCCTCCCGCAGTGGGCATCGCCCCCAACCGCATGCTGGCCAAGATCTGCAGCGACAGGAACAAGCCAAACGGTGGGGCGGCGCCGCGCGCGCTGAGCCCTCCGCCGCCATCGCCCCCGGCCGCACCAGGCGTGGCATGCGGCTGCGCTGTGCCCTCAAACCTTGCCTGCCTCCGCCTCCCTCCTGGGGCCCCTGCAGGCCAGTTTGAGCTGGAGCCTCGGCGGGAAGCTGTCATGGATTTTATGCGGGATCTAAGCATCAGGTGGGATATCCTGCCACGGTACGGGGGGATACCCTGGAGCACCCAGGCGGCCGCAAGGCCAGCCTGCCGCAGGGCGGCCGCCGCCCACGCCTCACCCAGCCCGCACCGCACCGCACCGCACCGCCGCTGCGTGCAGGAAGGTGCCAGGCGTGGGCAAGGTGACCCAGAAGTATCTGGCGGCGTTTGAGGTGCAGACCTGCGGCGACCTGCTCACACACAAAGGCCTGCTGCAGGTAGGGCGGCCGCCGGTGCCGGCAGCCCGCCCATCGCCTGCACCCTGCTGCATGCCTGCTGCCGCACGCCTGTGCTGCCCGCCACGCCCCACCCGCGCCCGCACGGCACACCACCGCCGCCACGCATGCACGCCACCCCACCCCAC